TTATTAAATTTCAGCTCTTAAAAATATCAAATGTATGTTTCCTATAAAGGGAAAGGAAAACAGATTTGCCAAAATAAATGTTGATAAAGTAACTCAATTCCTTCCTCAGGCAAGGACTGACCATTAACTAACTGGTCCTTCTTTGGAAACAAAACCCAACCCTAATAAAATGCAGAAAATTATGAAATTACTTCCAGACAAAAATTTGCCAGACTAAAAGCACAGGATCTGTCCATGTTCCCATACTGAGTTAGTTATGACTGGGTCACCCCTCACGGTAGCACTTTAAGGGGAAAGTGCAAACTTCACCACTTTCTCCGGCCTCAACCTTATGTCAAGCTCTCCGATGCTTTACATTAGCAATAATCTTTGAAGAATGACTACTGTGACTTTAATTTTGCTTTGCCTTAAAATATTCCTAAAACACCAAGCTGCACAGACAGTAAATTTCAGTTCCTCACTTGGTTGAGATGTACGCAGGTATCTACAGCTGCCTTTGGTTGATTACATTTCAAAAATGCAGTCACTGCTTGTTCACACATTCCAACTTTCACAAACATTTGTGCTATTTCCTGAAAAACAAAACAATATGATCAGATTTTTCAGACCAAGAAAACCACTTATATTTTAATTTAGCAAAACTCCATAGGGACATACGAATATTAAATTTTCTGGTAGTTACAGATTTTTCTTATAAACAGACATAGGGGCAGAGGCTACAAATCAGAATGGATGCTAAGGCATCAGCTTCCATAAAACCAGAGCTTCACAGGCTCAGGCTGTGGGTCTGATTTTTAACCAGGCCCTGAAGACACTACACTCCCTTCTTCTCTCAGTTCAGTAATTAGTGTACAGATACGTCAAGCTCCAAAACAAATCCCACACCAGTGGGTGAAAAAAAAACTTTTACAACAATTGGTGATATACTCAATGCTCATTAATTAGAGGCTTAAGGGAAACCTCTCAAAGAACTCTACAACAAAACACCCTAGAGAAGTCTGCCATTCATCAGTTCAGGAAGCTAGACCCAAAGCAGAGAGCTCCTATGGAGAGGGTGGTGGCAGGGAGGGAGAACCACCACCACCACAAATCTTATTTGTTCAGCTGCATTCTCCATTTTCAGATCAATTTTTTTTCTTT